GTAAGGTTTTTTAATTTTACCAAAAATAAATAAAAAAAATAAAATATATAAATATAGTGCTTGCATAATTTAATAAAATGTTATTTTCTTTTAGACCGGACAGAAAAAATCTGCACTTAATATTTATTTTTAAAAACTTACTAGTAATTTTTCAGAGCGATTTTGAAATTCATCCCGTTGCAGTTCGTAAGTTTTTTTAAAAAAAATTTCAACTATTTTGTTTCCACTTTCTTTAGCGAATGTTACTTTTGATATCGATGCTCAAAATAATTCTGAAGAACTGCATTTGAATATTTTTCCTATCGGAAGAGTAAATATAAGTCAATAACTCTTAAATTCTGAATAATATTAACACACACATATTGGGTGAAATTAGATATTTTATGACACCAAACACGTAAGAAAAAAAAAGTCAATGCAAAGTATCAATTAACTATAAAAAAAATACTAATGTAATATAAAAAATAAAGTTAATTCTACTAAGTTCCATATAATAAAAAAAATTATAATCAAAACTATTAGTTATATATAAATTTAAAGATAAATTATTTTTAAATAATTATTAAATTACGATTTGGTGTTGGTGTTCCGTATTTCTTACATTTTTAATTTTTCGCGCGCTTTTTAAGACACTGGTACAATTATTTTTATTTTTTGACCTCTGAACCCACACGCTACCGTGTGTAAATAAACGTTTTATAAAAAAGCAAACGACATTACTTGTACAAAATCCAGTTAATTAATCCTTAAATTTACTAGATGACTTTAAAACATATCTAAGATAAATATAGGATTTTTAAGAGATTTTTATATTTTCTGTTTACGTTTTTGCCTATAATAGCGTTCCGATGAATGCCTAAAAAATTTATATCCAGAAGTTAATTTTACTTTCAATTCAGATTAATGTTAGGCTATTATCATTCAAATAAAACTTACTTTTAAGTTCAAAGAAGGCATTTAAATTATTTAAAATACATCTTTTGGTATTTTTCTATTTTTAGGAAGTCCATAGCGGTACCTATATCTATCAATGTAAGAATCATTGGGATAAATCATGTAGCATAGTTTTATTTTCTTTATAGACTTTTTTTTTTGCAATTACTGTCAATTATGAACATTTTTGAACTACAATTCAAATTTATCTAAAGTAAAGTTTTAAAATAATTTGTTTTTTCCAGACATAAGCAAAAGTAATTTTTGCTGAACGATTAGTTTACAAGGGTTTACATGTCCATTCTCAAAACTAAACAACCACTTTACCCGTCGATGAAAAATTAAAATAACCACACGAAAAATTAAGTAATCGTCATATGTGTTTAAATGCCATTTCATTCATTTCACTAGAAAGTTATGAACATTATTCATTTTTCGTGCATTCATTATTTCAAATGTGAACATTTGAGAAAATATTCTATTCAAAATAAAGTAGTTTATTTCTTTCTAATAAAACAGATGAAAAGTGTTAAACACATTTAATGTGTTATTTTGTTGACAGTTTTGCAGCGTTTCTAGTAAAAATCGCTTAAGTGTCAGAAATTTAATATTTCATTTTTTTCCTTACAGTAAATAAAATCAATTCTAATGCTAAAATGTGACAAAGTATACCGGATAATCAACATAAGATTAATGAAAGTACAGACGATTCTATTAGATATTCAATATAGATTTATCATGGTAGTCATGTTTCGAAGTTAATTCTTTTAAATAATGCAAACAAACACTCACCGCCCATTCGGAGGTGGGGGGGGGGGCAAAGACAAGCACAGTATTAAGATAGAAATTAATGCGAGTAAATCTCAATCCAAATTTACCAGAATTTTAAACTAAAAATAGTCTGTCTATAAATTTTAAAACCCGCGTTCTGTATTTATCAATCTAAAGAAGTTGTAGCGTGACCTACGCAAAGACGGTCAGTGCGTACTTTCAAATGTTTAAAAGCTAACAAAATATGGAGGTATTCGTTTACATTTAAAAAAGTTATCATTGGGTGTGAGCTAATATTTCTTGCCCTCTACAAAAAATTTAAACTCAATGCACATTTGAAAATTGGTGTTTCGTTGGAAATTTTCACGTTTTAATTTGCTTAGGAAGTTTTTCTTCATTTAGTTTAAAAAGGACAAAGAAAGACTGTCAGAAAAAACATCTAAGTATTGACATTTTTCCAACTTCGACACAAACTAGTGAAGTATTCTTTAGAAGTCGAAAAAAAAAAAAAAAAAAAATTCATCCAATGATTAATTTGCTATTTCATTTGAGTTTTAAGTAGCATTTAATCTTTATTTTCTATTACCGAGCTCGATAATTTGTAATTTTAAGTTTTTAAACTAGATTTAATGAATGTGTGTCCATATCTGTAATTCGACTTTTCTCAATAACGGGGAAAAGGGGGAAGGTAATTACAGTAAAAAGTTGGAACAGAAAATGACATTTTCGAATTATGAATATTTTAACAATGGTGATAATAGGAAAAAGTGGAATCAGACGTAAATATGGTTTCAGTGGAATTAACAACTGAAGAAATCATAAACTAACACAAAATTATTTTTGGAAAATAAAAATAAAAAACATAGCATGTTTGCACAGGGATAATCTTTCAAATTCGAAAACCAGAAAGCTTCTTGCATTTAATTACTGCTGGATAATATTGGTTAATGCCTTAAAATATAAATAACTTATTTGTTTCCGAGTTCCCTATTTCAAACAGCCCAAGTAGGTCAAGAAAGTGATGAAGAGCTAAATTAAACAAGTAGCATCCGCAATTGAATTCAATAAAAAAACAAGCCAAAGTAAAAGCTTATAACGAAATAAATCTTTTATACATATATTTACATAATATTTCGTTCCGTTTCATAAGTTACGTTTTGTTTCAAGCGAGTTTGTTTTTTTTTTGTTTTTGTGTGTGTGTGTGTGTGTGTGTGTGTGAGAGAGATGCGTTTTAAATGCTCTTGTCTTCGCAGGTGAAATTGCTTGGTTCGATTTAAAAAGAGAAAAAAAACTTAAAATATAAATTTAGTTTGTTTTTGTTTTTCCTTTTAAAATCACAGTTCAGGTTTCGATTCATTTTTTAAGTCAAAGCTTCGACATTTTTCTTAGTCTTTTCTCTTCACCAAACTGTAACGACAGAAGAGAATTACTGTAACAGTTGTAGGCTTAGTAACTAAAGCCACAGACAAAAAGAATAAAGCAGATGTGATATTTGTTTTGCCATTAAAAGAAAAATTTTAAGCTTAAAAAATAAATGAATAAAAACTTTGGATGCAACAAATATCAAAGGCTCCACAATAACCATTCTTTGCATGTTAACATGCGCTCAATAAATTTTAAGTTCATTTAGTTTTGATCCGTGTCAAGAAAAAAAAAGTTCATTATTTTTTGAACTGTTGATGGAAGGTTTGTTGTCTCAGCTGAGATAATTTCCCTGTATTTATTTTTAAATATATAAAGATAGAAAATAAATAAGTTGAATTTTTTTATCTGTATTTGGTTCCACAGTTTTAGCGAAAAATTTGGAAAGCGTTTGTTGAATACTTCCATACATGAATATAAACATGCATCCACATTTATATACATTAAATAAAAATCCTGTTCATCAGTGAAAATATTTTTACTTTTAATAAACGACACTTAAACATTTCTATCGCGGTATGCGTTTCTAAAATAATTTTTCTTAAACGCCACTCAAAACAAAATTATTTAAAGTTTATATTTGTTGATCTTAACGAACACAATAGAAAATTTGATTCGATTATGTAGAAATAAAATAGTATTTTTATTATTATGTAATTGTCAAGAAGCTAGACTTGTGTATATTGACTCGACTGTAATTTTTAAATACTTAAGCTTATTAGCTATATAGCTGCTGAATGACATTCTGTTTTATAGAATTTTAGTTGACTTTAATTTTGCCATATCTAACTTCAAACGTTTGTGATCTTTCAATTCCCGCACAAACACACACAGTATGTTCGAAACAGTGACTGACCTTAAAGTTGAGTGGTTTATTTTAGTCATTTTTACTATACCATGTTTGCATTATCTGATCACTCCACTATACATGCTCGATGGAGTTAGATTGAGATAATATATCTCGATACATGTAAATGTAACTGAGCCCTATCCACTCGTTCTGTTAGGAACTAACATTCAGACTATACATTCGAACAATATAGGTACGAACAATCGTTATTGACTAGCAAGAGATGTTGTCGGTTGTATACAATGCTTATTTTGTTATACATATCAAAAGATATACATTGCAGATATTTGCTTAAAAGAAAATGGAAATGTTTACTTATACAATATTAGTATAATTAATACTCGTGTAACATTTATACTATACGTCGATATGACAAGAGAATCATTGAAGCGATTGCATAATTATATTAAGTAGTCTTTCCACAGTGAATTTCCCTTCAAAACCAGCTTTTAGTTTTTACGTTTAGCTAAATGTTAGATTTTAGGAATCTAATTTTTGTAAATGCATAGTTACATTTTTAATATTCGCACTATGCAAATGTATGATATGCATGCACACACATATATATATATATATATATATATATATATATATGCCTTTGTGTAAATTCCTATCTTTAATAAAATAATTTCATAGAATTCTGAGAAATAAAATGAGCAAAGAAAATGTTAGAAATGAAATGATCGATAAAAAAATGAAAAAAGCTTTATCGATCGTTCATGGTAGCAAGAACCTACCCTGAAAGGAAAGCAAAAGAGAAAGTCGTCACAGTCATCGTTTATTCAGACAACAGTCTCACTGCCGCTTCGTTTCGCTTTTTCTATCCGAATTGTTCGTGTAGGTTTTGTAATGACGCGATACTGTTGACTCGGTATAGTATACTCGATTGATTTCCTTTCGTTTCGCTTGCAACAAAATCGTCCCACGAACTTTCGCCAGGAATTTATAGTCTTGGATGACCAAATCCACACTCCACAGGTAATCCCAACAATTAGGTTCATGAAAATCTTCAGCATGAAGATCTCTATGCTTGGCTTCGACGTGGAGCCAGCTGAGTACCAGTCTTTTCTGTTAGTGTACTCGTAGAAGAGGCAAGCGATCACGCAGGTAGCCGGCAAGGTGTACAACACAGAGAACACCCCAATCCGAACCATAAATATTTCTAGCTTGTCGGTTTTGGCCCCTCCATTACGCACTTGACGCCGGATCCCGAAAATCGCTATGAAACCAGCCACCAGGAACGTAGTACCGACCAAGAGGTAGAATACGTGTGGCCCTATCACAAACCCGATAAGAGATTTGTCATTTTGGTTACCGACGAAACAGATCCCTGTTAGTTCATCAGCATCAACATCCCGCATTATAAGAATAATGATAGTTTTGATGGCAGGAATAGCCCAGGCAGTCAGGTGAAAGTAAGAACTGTGGACTTGAAGGGCCTCATGACTCCATTTGAGGCCAGCAGAGAAAAACCAAGTGAGCGTTAGTATGACCCACCACAAGGCGCTGGCTGTACCGAAGAAATAGAGTAAAAGAAATACGATTGCACAGTCTGTGTTTTCCAGACCCTCTTGAATAAGGATGGAATATTCGCGTCGCATTTCGCGGTGAACATCGCAAGAAATGTTTTGGCGACCAGCAACCAAGCGGACGATATAGGCGATGCTGTAAATATTGTAGCACATGGCCAAGAAAATGATTGGCTGTTCTGGGTAGCGAATGCGTTGAGAGTCAATGAGAAAGGTCAGGACGGTGAAGAGTGTTGAAGAAAAGCAGAGAATCGACCAAATGGCCATCCAAACATCAGAAAATTCTTTATCGTTGTAACTGAACGCATCATGACGACCACAACGCAAAGCGCACCGTTCTGTACGGTTAACATACACATAATTTTCTGGGTGGCGCATATGCAAACAGGTGCCTACTCGATGCATGTTCGGGAAGGGGGGTTTGCCGTGTTGCCAGCCACCAACGTTTGCGTTTCTGTTCTTGCCGGTTCTGCCAACCCCTGACCGGCTCCCCTGAGGAGTCTGTCCGACTGTGTGATGTGTTTCTTCGTCTTCATTCTCGCCTGGCCCATCCATGCACATATGATCCTGATTGTTGCGAGGAGGAAATTTTGTGCAATTGAGGATGTCGGGCCAGCTGAAACCGAATTCTTGTAAAACCGGCTGACATTTTCGCTTCACGCTTTCGCACATAGGACGGCAAGGACCAATGGGATCCTTCACTTTGTCTGTGCACATTGGTACAAACACTGAACAGAGGAAGAAGGTCAATTGCGAACTGCAGCCATATTGAATGAGAGGGTTGAATGTGTTCAGCTGGAGTTGGGCGTCTCGCTGCATGTCATTGCCAGCTAGGTTCGGCATGCCAGTCACGTTATAGCCTTGTCCTTTACAAGTTGGTATTTCGATCGGGTCGCATGTCCGTACGACTTCAGCCAGGGTGACAGCTGGTCGTCCGGATTGTCCGAACCAGACTAATAAAAAGAAAGTGACCACAAACCAGCGATAGAATAGGGACGGTGATGATAATCGCGGTGATTGGTTCTGTAATTTTTGATTAACCATATTTTGAAAAGTCGAAAATCTTTTACAATGGTTGCCATTGAAAAAGTCAGTATTTTTGTTAACATTTTTTAAAGAGTTGTCGAGACAATGCGTGGCTTTTACAGATGAATAGTCCATCTTTCAATAAACAAGAGTTGATACTGGATATCGGCTGTAGTAATAAGATAAATGGAATGATAAAATTCATATGATTGTACACGCGTGAAGTTGTAAGTATATGCACTTCGGTCAGAGAGCCAGCGAGAGAGCGCCAGTTGTCACTATAGCAGTCACTAAAAATAAGCACTTTTTATTGATATGAGCGTTGAGTTGTATTTATGTGGTGTGTGTGTGTGTGCGTGCGCGCGCGCAAAGGCTAGATGCAGTGGCCGAACTAAAAGTGAGGACACTTAGGTTAAAAATATTTTTAGTATTGTATCGGTTCTAATTTTTATTTTTTTCTCAAATAAAGATTGACGACAAACATGCGTAAGAGAACCTGGTAATCCTTAGACAAATTGCTTTGTGTAAAAATCCACATTCTTATACATGTAGTCTTTCACCCTGGTAATCGCTAGTTAAATATTTGAGGAGTTAAGAAACAATTTGAAAAAAATGAATTTAACGCTCGAATAAGAGTATCAAGCAAAATATATTAGCAAAGAGGATTATGGAAGAAAGAAAAAAAAATGATTAATTTCGTTTATGTTCCTAGTTATATCTGCGATCTCAACCAAGATACGGATGGACGGTCGGTCGGTCGGCTGGCTAGCCACTCAATCCAGACACACGAACACAGCTGTATGTATTTTGTTACTCAGAGTAAGGGACGATCAACTCAACCGAGAGAAAGAAATAGGGAGTCTTTGTTATCCCTGCTGATGTGGTCAGAGTTAGGTTCCTTTATCGTTTTACGTAGTAGTAGTTTTCATGCGCTTTTTAAGACTCCATAACTAGGAAATTGTGATACCTCTTCGGGTAAAAAAAAAAAAAAAAAAAAAAAATTAAATAGCTTTCGTTAAAATTTTGCCTTGCATTGTGATTTAAAAAAATGTTCGATATAATCATTGTACACTTGCATTGCTATTAGAAAAAAAATGAACGTTGTATTTGTTATATTTTTATTGACATTTAAAAGGCTTTATCGTGTGTGTATAACAATAATATTTAGTCTTTGTCTGGAAAATTAAACATTTTTAGCTGCTAAAACTTAATTTAAAAAAAGTGCCTTAATTCAAGAATAAATTGTATTTATTATTATTTCAATCATGAGTGACAGACATCGCTACGCTAATAGAAGGCTTGTTGATTTTTAAATAATATTTTTAGCGCTGATAGACAGCAGCATTTATCAGGAAGTTTGTATTTAAATTTAAAATAAAGCTGTGCATGCAAGTTGTATCATGCTTAGTAACGTTTATTGCTAGTAGATAGAGAGATATCAGAAACTATAATATTTCAAGCTCATAAAACCAATCTTAATTTTTATAGATCAGTGAGTGACCTTGTAGTAGAAATGGTAGACTTCCTGCGAAATATCGATTGTTCTGCCTTCGAAGTTAAAAGAAGCAAGATTACAAGCAAAATAAATTTTTATGATCATCATAGGACTTATGGCCAAGATATAGTGAATAAAATTATAGGTGACCAAAGTTAATCAACGAATGCTCCTAGTAAAAAAAAAAAATACTAATCAAAGTTAACGTGTCGGATTCCTTGGCTGATTGAACTCAACACTGGCTAACTTGATGGGGCAGGCGATAAGCTCGACTTCCTATCAGCATGAACAGTCACAACTATCAAAACCAGTTGTAAATGAACAGAAAGACGGTAAAGCCCACTAAGACTAACAATCGCCGTCGGAGAAAGGAAGTAGATTAAATAAGAAGAGTGAGATTGGGAATTTGACAAGAGGTTGCCATCCACGGTGAACCGGGGGGGGGGGAAGAACGATACAAAACAAAGTATATCTTTAAGATAAATCCGAACTGTTATTACTAAGCATTTGCTTTAACTTACAGCTTCCATAATGTTTGCAGTTGGAAGAGACATTTTATATTTCGAAAACAGTAGTAATTACTCTAACAAATATCCTGATTGCGGTGATCGAGTAATATTTTGCGAGTTAATTATCAAAATTAGTTAAAATATACAAAGTCCCCCCCCCCTTTCCATCCTCATCTTCTGTAGCCAGTTATTGTTTATTACAAAAATTTAAAAGCAAGTCTGGAAAGAGTTTGGAATCAGACAGGGACTTTGAAAGGCGAGCAACACGAGAACGTTAGGGAATGAGTAAGCGAGGTATTTTGTTTTCTTTTTATAAAACTACTAAGACTAGTGAATGAGAGAAAATAATATTTTAATAATGAAGTTGGATTCCATAGCAATAGCTGTAGTGTAGTATTTTTCCTTCGGTTATGTTTTAACAACATCAGGTTTATTTAACACAGACCTGGTTTGTTAAAACTAAAAGAAAACAGCGAACATAATGGATATTGTATGGAAATATCATAATTTGCCAATATGCACATGTGCTCAAGTTAAAACTAATAAATTTAAATCAACCTCTAGCGTCTGGGTCAGATGTTTTCATAGTCTTTTACGATTGCAGAAATATTTTAATTATCTTTTTTTTACAAAAACAAAGAGAAGTGTAGGTACATAACAAAAAATTCATACTGTTTCTAGTATTATATACTTAGTCCAAAAATGTGTCTAAAACGATTTTACTAAATTTAACAGATTTTAGAATTATTAGTCGGGAGAGTTTTGTTAAATAAGGAAAAATTTTATTGCTATGATTTAATGAGTTTTTAAATTGCTATCAGTTGGACAATGAGAACTACAGAAAAATTGGTGTTCTACTACTACTACTACACAGGGTAGAGAGATATGGATAGACTACATATGCCACCTTTCTTATTGTTAATGATTAAAACTAGAAGTTTATGAAACAATTGTAGTGACTAGAAACGAGTTCTTATGAATTACTTACGGAAAAGCTGAACGTCATACAAAAAGAAAATAAGTATTTTGCTGAGAGAGTGAATGTTAAATATGCCATTGTATCATAATTCGGATTCATACGAAGCAAAAACTGATGAAGTAGCCACAGAAAATAGCACGAGTTTCGTCGAATCTTCTACAATCATATACAACCATATATCCTGTTTGTGGTTGTCCAGCCTAAAAATTCTCGAACTCAAGTAACGTTGAAATAAATTATTTCTTGCTCATTTAGTATATTGTCCCGAGAAAAAGTTTAAATACTTCATGAATGATTTATGATCAGGGTTTTTCCTCCTACTTTTTGCGTATTTTTCCAGACGATGATTTGTCTCCTCTTTCTCACAAATATTATTAAATAACACCGGCAGTATTTGTTGTTGTAGGAAGCTCTCAGTCAATAGCAGCAGTATATGAGTTGTATGGCGATGGTGGCACTGTATTAGAAGTAACTTACGTATTTTTTTAATTGGTTTCCAGTATTTTGTAGTATGTAGATTTCCGCATTGGTTTAAGTTGTTTTTTTTTTTATTTCGTATATTACAGCAGTTGATTGTGGTAGTCTTTTGTACAGAGAGTGCACATTATTGCATAATAGTATGCGTCCACAGCGATCCACTTCGAGTTGCATTGGTTCTTTACGTTTTTAAAGGTAATAAGCCTTATTTCAAGTGAATAAGTTGTAGCTTGTAATCATTATTTTAACAATAAACTGTGGTTATTCACGCCAACAGCCCCACCCTTATTTATACCCAGGGTGGTGCCGCCAACAAGAGAAGAAATACACCCTGAACAGTCCTCGACTCGTAACGAGGAAACTCGAACTTTTCCACATCATATTGTTTGGCTCATTGGGTCAAAGTAGTGCGCGTTTTATACAAAGTCACTTGCCTCTGCCTTTTACTTTGCCACTATATCTATGAACTCTACTCCTACTCTTCTTCCTCGGTCGACTCCTTCTCCTTTCATGCGCTTGATTTACACTTTCCATCGCTTTTCTCTCATTTTTTTCATTTCTATCTCTTAACATTTTTATTATAGTTTTTCGTCTTTTCTTTTTCATTAAGTTTTCTGTTTTTCTCTTAATTACTTTTTCTTTTGCATACTCCCCCAACATTTCGAAAAATCTAACTCTGCCTTCCTAATTTTCATTTTTCGTTCATTTTTTTCACTTATCTCACGCGAGTAATTGTACTTTCAAAGATGTTAGTCTTATTTTTTATTTAGCCTGTAGTGTATTCACTAAACGGGATTCAAATTGGTGGCCGCGTATTTGTTTCTGTGTGAATCGCATTATGTTTTGTGTTATTTAAAATACAGGTTTCCCTATTTCCACGTATTTATCTAACTTTTAACACTACAGGGTTGCACACACATTCACACCCACGTGTCTGAACACTCAAATATGCATCATGTTTCACTGACCTCCAGCATCCATTTCAGAATAAGTGCATACATTTATGTATATATTCGCAAAACAGCAGTTTTCACAAATTTGCTTGGACTAACATTCACACAGGCATAGACAGATGTGCTGAGATTATAATTATTCTTCGCACTAGAGTTATCTGGTGGTCGGGGATCGTGATCAATAACAGTCGCAAATCACATGCAATCTTACACGCCCCTGTTATTCTCGTTAATTCTAACAACATACTATTGGTGGTCATGGTATTCTTCTTGTTATTATTGTTGTTGTTGTTGTTGTTCTTCTTCTTCTTCATCATCATCATATTATCATTATTAGTAGTAGTAGTTGTAGTAGTAGTAGTAACATCACTCCCACTTTTCATTAAATGGTAATCTATTTGCTAGAGTTGTGTCACGTTTTTGTATCTTTTCATACTCAAAGTCACTCTCAACAAATCGCATCTTTTAAATTGTTATTTCCTCTACCCAACTATCATAAAGGCTTTAAAACGAATAACCAGAAGAAACAAAAGGAAGATATTTGCTGGATAATGATATTTGCATATTTGTGATATTATTCAATTTAATTGTATTCCAGCTGAGATTAGTCTTCGAGCAAAAATGTGTTTCTGCTCATATTTTCACGGAAGCGAATTTAGGCATCATTCTATATCTTCTTTATTGTCTTAATTAAAACTAAAGGGATGAGGAAAACACTGAAATTGACTACACAACTTTTTTTCCTAACATTATTTTGTGGCATTCTCTATTCATTGGTTGTGAAAGAGTCGAAAATACAAAATGCAAGATAATTACACCAGGCAACAATGGACCAACTGAAAGATATTCAAAATATTTTCGATTATAATTTAATATTTGGTGGAGGGATGGATACAAAAGTGTAAACGAAAATCGTAACGTATTTTTATGCAGCCGAAAATATAGAAAACCTAACAAATTATATAAACAAAACATTATTATTATTATTATTTTATCTTTTAATTATAATTACTTATTATTTATTACAGTTTTTTTTTCTTTTTTTCGTGTATATAAGTGTCCCTAGAATCTATGATCATATTTAGGTCTTAATGCATCAGGTCCCCATCTAATTAGTTTTTCTCTTTTCTGTTCAAGCCTATATGTCTACGCACATGCGCGTATGTACACTTTCACACTCGTATACGCAAACACACAAAATGAATCACACGAGTATATTTAAACAGCATCATTTTCACGCATGTGCAGATGGGTTCAGAAAATACGTAATAATTTCTCATACGCTGACTCAACAATTTTAGACACGTGCCTATTCAGAGTTACATATGCTCACAAGCGCACATGACATAAAAAAAACAATGACATTAGCTGTGACACTAATTCCCCAGATTTACTTCAGGACACTCTCTCCTATATATTACTTAAGAAAGAAACAGCAAGAATAAATATAATTTCGGAAATGAGGCTTCTCCTTATTCTTCATTATGCATTAATCAAGGAGATAAACCCATACACAGCTTTGTCTTTTCCAATTCGTAAAACAGAATATAATACTTTTTAAAAATGCATATAATTATATTAATTTATCTTATGTAGAAATTATCGTAGGATATTTCATTGAGTATATGCAAAGTTAATATATCCACCAATTAATGAAAACCATGAATGCATATGCGTTTGATAATATTAAATTCAATTTTTTAATGCAAATATTCATCAAAATATGGTAGTATCTTGGTTAATTTGACAAAAGAAATTTTGTAAGAATGAGTGTGTTGATTCTAATTTTGAGCCTGTCAGTTGCTTTAAAATTTTAAAAACTCTTCGTTATTCATTGCGTAATTATTTACTCCCAGAAGCAAAAAACGATTTAATGTAAGCGAAAATCAGCAGTTAAAAATATAAATAGAGCTGATAGGTGAGATATTTTAAGTTAATGCGGACACAAAGCCAGGATAGTGTGGAATCCAGTGAGGATCGAACATTAACGAACATTGGTGTGGAAAATATGCTTACGATTCATAATGCTACTGTAGGAGGCATCCACATAGATATTCACGGAGACACATGTAGGCATGTACATACACATGTCGAATTGTGTATTTCTCATCGGCGCAAGTGAGCGATATTTAAGCCCGGATAAAAACCACGATTTCGAATGATGAATTCCAGGGATGAATATTTGGCGCAACACACTCTTCTTACATTAGATACTTATTTATCCAAATACACACAACAGACATTTCGACCTATTCGCACAAAGATAATTACATTTCAGAGAATGTGAGAAATGTTCAACGTTATCAGACAAATGAGGATTGTTAACATGTATATATTCAGATAAACGAAATCGTTGCAATAGCAGTCATTTCACCAACTAACCAATTTCTTATGTAATTTGAAATAAACAAAATCTAACAACACTTACTGAATGATTTTGAAATGGGGTGTCGCAAACATCTTACTGATTTCTATCAAAGATTCAATATATAGAAATTCAGAGCAGAAAATTTAAGTTTTCAAAAACTGAAGTAAAATTTTTCTTAATACATCTTTAAGTCCTTTAATGAATAGGGAATTGTACAGTTTACTTAATTCTTTCTTAAATGGAAACAGTTTTGAATGATACCAATTAATTCTATAATTATCATCATCATCATCGTTAGAATTGTTTTTGTTTCACAATGGCATAATTACAGCTGTGTGTAATAAAGTATTGAAAATATTTCGTCTGACCAACCTTCAACTCGTTCTATTGGAAACTGAATATCATAGCAGTACTAAAATCAACTTCATTATTACTATCGACCAAAAATGTTGTAATAAAAAGCGAAATAACAACAGATAGAAAAACTAATAAATAATAATACATTCTCACGCATCCTATTCTTACCACTCTTTATTCTTAGAATCATGTTACTCATTAATATCATTCACGCAACTCTTCATTATAAATGATTTACATTTTTAATTATCTCAACCCACATTTGAGGTATATACTGGTTGTCACTGGGGATGCTGCTGCTGCAGCAACAAGAGGTCTCTCATAGATATCGCTGACAGCAATTCTCCTTAGACCGCGAGGACTTTCAGTATTAATTTAACCGAGAAGTAGTGTATATTGTCTGAATTATAGTTCGAATATCAGATTTATATGTTTTTTTCAGTTGACTATGACGGTAACAGCACAGCATTTCTTTCTGCTAATTCATGAGTAGGAATTAGTTTCACCAAATGCTTACTCAGAAATTTCTTTTGTTGGTTAACTATTGTTCTATGACAGTGACAAAATATCTGGTTAAGACATTTGATGATAGCACAAAACGCCAAAAGACACGACCTAAACAGAAACAGACTGGTCTTAAATTTGAACTCGGTTCACCGATTCCGTTTCTCGCAACTGATATTTCGCTTCAAACATAACACTTCTCGGCCTAAGCTCCCTTCTCGCGCCTTTTCTCTCTATCCGTCTTCCTGTCTCTGCCTCTCTGTCTGTCTGTCTGTCTGTCTGTCTGTCTCTCTCTCTCTCTCTCTCTCTCTCTCTCTCTCTCTCTGCGATTCCATGAAAGCCGGTATGAGCCAATTATAATTAATCATTTTTTTTTAAATATTCGGCTAATTAAAATCCCAAATAATTCCTAAACTAATCTTACAAACAAAAATTCACGC